ATAATAATAATTATTCATTAGCCTTTAAGTAAAAAGAAAGCATAGGCTTAAAACCGAGTCTTAACAGTAGGGTTGCAGAACAGGAGGTGAAGGCTCAGAAGTCCCATCATGCAAGAGAACCTACAGCATAGGAGTTCCTTCAGTGGCAAAGGGACAGAAAATGATCTAAAAAGCTAAAGTTTAAAAAAATCTATTATAACATAATTGCATTTTAACTACCCCAAGTCCTCATGCAAATGGATGCACATGCACAACTACCAAACTTTATTATGCGTTTTCAGAATGTTTCATAATAAGAAATGAAAATGTGTTCTGGCTCTAGAACATTCTCCCCTCAAAGAGTCGAGATCTGCAGTTTAAGAACCAAAACAGCTAGCATTTGGGCAAATGGTATTACACAAGCAGTTAAACATTCCATAGCACGCCATGAACAATGAAAGAGGTGCGAAGCACAGATCAGGTTTCCTGTCCCAACGGGTTTACAATTCAGAGGCAGACTGGTATAGTACCATTAAAAAAAGTGGCAGGCTGTCTCTATAAATGAACTGAATTAGAGGGAAGCTCTCTCTGTGGAAAGCACATATGCAGCCCCCATAGTATCGGAGCATCTCACAGTTTTTCATGTCTTCAGCTTACCTACAACGGAGGAAATAAGACACAGGAAGACCAAGGTCAAGATCTACAAAAGAACTTAGGCAGGATTTATGCAACCAAATCCAAAGCTATGATCCGTAAAACTCCCACTAAACTGGTAACCAACCCTAAAGGACCCGAGTTAACATTACATTTTTCCAGTCACCTGAAATTCCACATGTCCAGAAGCATCTCAGTCTCTCTCAATGCCAAAGCCACACAACGCATAAACAGCCACTGGGGGGGGGGACTGAAGGGGGAACTGTTCCCCCTTTCATGGGCCTACCCTAACCACTTAACTAAAGAAATCAACTCACTCTTGCTCCCTCATTCCAATTAAACTTAGATTAGGCAGTGCCCTCAACAAAAGACTAACCATAAGCAGAAGACATGAGTTATAAAACACTAAAATTTGATTGTCCACACACTGAGATACTACTTTAACCACCGTGCTTCTGGATAAGAAGTGCCACCAACCAGCAGCACCTCTTCCTTTGGCCAAGTTTCAAAAGAAAGAATGAACTTCCCTCTACCTTTTTTTTTTTTTTTTGGGGGGGGGGGAGTGGGGGGAGAACATAGGAAAAGGTTCTGGACTCTGAATATTATGAGTACAGAGGCACCTCCTAGTGGTGCCGAGTAAGGTGCCCAAGACCTAGAAAGAGATGGCATCTACAACACAACCCTGTCAAATACCTTATGCAGCTTCTCACTCAGCATGCTGATTTTGTGACTCCCATTCCAAGGTTCCTAACCTTCCCTGTGTATCGTTTAGCTGCCTAATTCAGGACTGAATCCTACTCAGGAGACTAAAAGATAGGCACCCTGGCCCTGAACGATAGCACCTAAGTCCCTTTGAGGATAGGGGCTTAAGTGGCTTGCTCAAAACCAAATAGGAAGTCTGACAGAGCATGGAACTGGATCTATGTCTCCCAGTTTTTAAGCCTGAGAGAGGACTATAAACGGACCATCTTTCCTCTCATGATGCATATCAAGGCACTTTGGTGTGTTCATTTACAATCTGCTGCAGGCATGAGGTGGCAACATGGAAGAGGTTGTGTGTCGATGTCTTCCAAATTGTGATCTAGACAGAACCAAAAAAGGTAAATAAGTTTGGTAAATGCCTAAAGATACCACTGACATGAGCAATAACCTTGGAATGCCTATACAGCAGTCAGGCACGTTCTACTTATAATATTCACTACACCCTGACTTTTATATTAAAGAAGAAACTCTTAAAAGACACAGTTCAGTATTTGAATGCTGAACTTGTACTGAAATGCTGGCGCAGCTGTACAGGCCACGCTATAGCGTGTAAATGGAGGTTTCAAAGTTTCTTTCTTAACTGTCTGGTCTGGATCATCTGATACACAGATTCTACATCAACGGACTCATCCATTCAGAGTTCACATGACAAAATTGTAATCAACGTTTTGTTCTTGTTGCACATAGCCAAGAGAATCTCCTACCCTAATGCAGTAAAAACACCTGTTTGTTGAACAATCATCTAATGTTAATACTGAAATTTTAAAAACACTAGAGTTAAAATTTTAACTTAAAGACCTTCAACTACACCTCAAATGCTAGAGTAACCGGTCACAAAAGCTTGAGAACATAGCCCAAGATGTCTTAGGGCATCACAATGTAAGTGGAAGGAGGACATTACCCATCTACCTTCCATACAGGATTTCCGGGTCCACCACTGTATTAAAGGTTTTGCCATTCCTTTGCTGTCTCTTGCTGCATTCCTTTCCATCCTTCTGCTTCAGAGCATAGGATTCTAGTCATATTATACTTTTATTACACAAACACACACACACACACACGCACGCACGCACGCACGAGCAGCAGGGAACAGCAACAGCATGGAAATCAAAGGCTTAACATTTTGGGGGGTGGAGAGGATTAGTGATCTATAGTTGCAGCATATAATTTTTTAAAATTCTTGCCCCGTTAACCTAGTTACAAATCCACTAGTAAGCAGCAATCCAACACAAGTCACAACAGCAAAGATATTCTGCCACCAGTGTTCAACCTCAAAAGTATAAAGGAAAAGGGGAATAGAAAAATATATGGAGGAAATTTAACGGGGGGGAAAATCAGTTTTCAAAACTAATGCCTTCTTTAGTATCATTCTCTGCCCTACACTCTCCCTTTGGGGACTCTCTTCCCTTTCTTTCTTTCCTAGATGCATTTCCTATGATTTTCATTAATTTTCTTTTTTCTTCTGTCCTGCAGGTCAGCACAAGATCCCCTTCACATTTCATGGTCTCCCCCAACCTTCATTTTTTATGGTTGCTCCCTTTCTGGTTCACACTATTCCCATTTCTTTCTTTGCCTTTTCTTGGGTTTTGTCTACATAGCAAAATAAAGGATGAATTGCAACATAGAGGTAGCTAGCACAGATGACAATAGCAGCTAACAGTGTGGCAAGGGCATAAGTATAAGCTCACAAAGAGCCACGGGCACATCCTGTGGTTGCTAGACCATGCCACCACAACTTCAATGCCAATTAAAGCTGTGCTAGCAGTGGATCCCTAACAGTGGATAAGTCTTCCCATGCTACAGTCTCTCTACCATTCTTCTGTGCAGACATATTCTTACTTTCATCTCCTTGCTTCTCATCTCTTGATATTTCCAGTTTCCACCTGCCCCAGTTTTTGGACCACAGTCACAGGCCACAATTGCTGGAAGGTTACAAGTATGGGTACCAAGCTCAAGAAGTACCCACTTACAGGCATCAAAAGAAGAATGCAATCCTTTAAAAGAAGTGTGCAGAGGAATGCTGGCATTTGAAACTGGTGTGTACTGAGCAGTCTTCAGATATCATATAGCTGAACAGCTTGAGTAAATCAACAAAACCAGAGAAATTCAGTTATTGCATCACACAAGAGGTAAGAGATCACAACATCCTGCTACCCTGCAATAGCTATTCAGAACAGAACCAGTTAAGGACAAAGGATCGGCTTCAGCATGTTCCACTGCTTCAGCAATTTAATCACAATCAACTATGGTCATTTTTTTTTTTGTATTTTGTCTGGTGACTTCAGTGTCTAAAATGTCCCTCTTCCCTCACTGAAACTTTCTGACTACAGTCACAAATAAGAGAAAAGATAATGCAGCAGGATTTAAAAGCTATTTAGAAGGTCAAAGAAATTATTTTAATTAGCGTGGGCTAGTGAGATGTCATAAAGAATTTAGCATCAGTGAAAAGAACTCAGTGGGTTTATATTATTCCAAGAGATCATTAGCAAAAGATGTTCAGAAGACAATTCAAACTGTTGAGCTATTCCACTGTCTAGATGCTCTGGAAGGCTCTCTCTCTCAGACTGGTTTAAATAGCAATTTCAGGAGGGCTTCAGAGAAGCGTAAGAACAGAGTCCTTCAGCATTCACTTTTGATAAGGATTCATCTGCTTTGCTGTTGCACACACGGCTGCTATCCTACGTTCTAGATCCAGTTCCAACTGAAGCTCCCCATCAAGTAGCAACCCCTGTTTTCAAGTAGCAAACCCTATATTTTAATATCTGAGCAAGGTCCCTTTTGTAACATCAGGCGACGTCTGGGTGCGGCGTCCGAGCTCCCGATATATCAATATTTCCATTACAGACCTGTATTATAAGGGGTTTCCCAACCCAAATCGTAAAAATCCCAATTCAACCCGAAACCTGGCACATTCGGTCTCTAGCTAGAAACCCGTTTCTCTCAACGCGCTCCCAATCCCTAGCATGCAGATGCTGTCCTTTCTGCATTACCGGCAGTAAACAGCACGGTACACGAACGGCCACTTTTGGACCCGTTCAGCCTCCTGTCGATTTAAAATGGCTCATTTCAACAAAACAGGATTGCGTGCATCGCTCCAAATCCTTAACCACCTGCCCGAGCGAGGGCCAGCACAAGTCCCCGACGGCGCGGACCAGCCTGTCGCCGACCCTGGACGTGGACCCAACGTCCAGCCTTACCGTGAGCGGGCGCCAGGGCTGGGGCTGCGAATGTGCAATCCCAGCCTGGGCGACAACAAACCGAGGGACACATGCGGGCTCCCCTCGTCTGGTCCGCCGCACCGGGAATGAATCAAGAGCGGTGCCTGCTCAGGCTGAGGGGACCAGAAACACAAACGAAAAAAAAACAACAAACCCGGCAACCGTGCCGGCTGCGCTGTGTGTGTGCAGCCCGAGTGGCTTCAGAACAAGGCAGGATGCGGATAAATCTTGACAGCCGAGAGCAGGCACGGGCTCCCCCGCCTCCCCCGGGTCGGCGCGAGAAGATAGCGACGGAAGCGAGGGGAGCCGGGGGCACATCCAGCCCCTCTTCCCCAGCGCCCCGCAGCGGGGCCGGGCCGGGCCGGGCCGGGCCGGGGGACCCCTTACCTTGCCTGTGGCCGGGCCCCGCGGCTGGCAGCGGATGAGTCAGTGGCGGGTTCATCTGCAGAGGAATGACTCAGGATCAACTTTTACCCGCGGGCAGCGCGCGGCT